CAATGCGTTGATGCCTCCACGAGGAGCTTACTAACAAAGCAAAAGTTGTACTGCGAATTTTGGAAATCTTTTCCAAGCCTCTACTCCTTGCTTCTGAATCTAGGGAGGGTTTTGAATTAGAAGTGGTGGTTGTAGGAGTAAAAGTGGGGAAAAATTTCTGGGCCCATTGGTCAATGCAATTTTGCTGACTTTGGAGATCTCGCGCTCGGCGTGAGAACGGAAAATCGTCTGCAGAATTTGAGACTTTTCGGGAATTATTATTTTAAAATATTAATTATACATAAATTTTTCTTTAGTCTTTATTGTTAGACCAAGTGGAAAAATAAGGAGGAAAATAAATAATATTGTTTATTGTACCTGTCACAATTAATAACAATAAAACATTGTTTGTTAATCATGACGCAAACAACAACACCTTGATATCCTGAATTTAGTTCTTCAACATTTCAGAAACATCTCCTTGTAATTATGAATGGTACAAGATAATTAAATTCAAATAAATAATTCCCATTTTATTTTGATAAGCTTTAAGATGTATTTCAGCTTGAAGCATTGCACGTGCATTTGTTTTCTATGCACATGGGGCCAGGGGAAAAGGGAGCGCTTGGACGAAGAAGAAGAAGCAACGAGCGGAGGCCTAGAATGTATTAGTGGCCTTTGCTATATAATGTATGTGTGCATCATTGTTGCGATCTCCAACGAGTCATATGTGTGTGTGCAATGAGGCAGCCACCCGAACATGTGTAGGTCCAAGAGAAGATATACACATATAGAATTATTTTCTATTTCTTTCAACTTTAATATTGTAATTCCTTTAGGTTTTTTTTTTTCTTTTTAATTAACAATTTCTTTGTTTACGTGGATTGTTATTATCTCACTTATTTACATTTAAAATTTTCTTTCTCTTTTTTTTTTTAACAATAATAATTTATGATCAATTCGGTAAAAAAAAATAAAATTTTGACAACACAAGGTGAGTCACGAGGTTTGTAATGTTTGCATACATTGCACACATAGCCCACACACTCAAATAAACAAAATTATTAATGTATAATAGCTGTAAGATCATTTGTTCGGGAATATTGAATTGGGAGTGCCGCGACATAGCGGAAATTGATCAGGCTGGTGCCGCAAGCTTCGTTTTATATGTCGCAACACTCGTAATGTTGTTATTTAATAATTTTAAATTGGGAATGTTGCCGCAATGTTCGCTACTGGTTTCTTGACACCCGGGTGCCAAATTCGACGTTAAAATCTTCCTATCGCGAAGATAAAATAAAATAAAGATTCTAATCAGCGCAAACAAGGTATACTTATGCATGGAGCTGCGCTAGATCGCGCCCATGCGCAATTACGTTATTATATAAGATATATATTTTTTTTCTTTAACCTTTCTTTTTTTTTATTAATTAGGGTAGAAGTGGAGGGTTAGTGATTTCCTGAGGGTCATAATCATTTAATTTAAGTTAACCATTTGGTAAAAAAAAAATTATTATTTTTTTTTTAAAAATATTTTATTTGTAATAGCCTGACTTCATTTCCTGTACGGTGCTGACACAGATTTAAGAGTCATGGAGGCTATCCGATGTCGTATTCCATTGAATGGAAAAAAAGTTAAATTAGAGAAATTAAATTTTTAATTTTAAGATTCAAGAGTAATAAAAAAAATTGATATAGGTGAATAAAAAAATTGAGTTACACCGTAACAACCCACCGTGGATGTTCCGTTTTCGTCCCCGAAAACTGACCGTGATGGAGATGAAGTCAGGGTGTGTACTAACTTTATGACTTTCAGGAAAACAGATCCCCTTTTTACATTATTCAGAGTCGTTTTCCTTAGTAACATTATAAATTTTTCTTAAATACACTATAGTTACAAAGTGTTTCTTATAGTGTGTTTTCTATCACGGTGATTCTATGTTTTGGTATAGAATTACCTTGATAAGGGCTCGTCGTCGTCGAGGTCGAGACGCAGCTCCCTGTAAGTTAGTTCGGTGATGACCGTCTTGAATAGTCGCACTTAAGACGTTTCTCCCCCCCCCTTTTTTTTTTTAATTGCGAATTTTCTGTTTTTTTTTTTTTTTTTTTTTTTAACTGGAAAAACGAAATCTAGCTGGCTCGCGACCGACGTTGTTGCGTGCAGATAGCGCTTTGCATTAACTCTATTATTTATCTTTATTAATTTAAGATTCTTTGAATTTGAAAATTTTTTTTTTTTTAAATTTTTCCCGTTATAACTAATTTTATCTTTAATTTAAACTCTTTCGGTGCTTGAGAAGGAAAAATTGTTGTATTACTCAAATTATAAAACAAATTACACTGTACATGTACGAATTACAACGACATGTAGCAACATGTCGTTTAAACTCAACATTTAGTCACTGTGATCTTTGGCGAAAAGTATTTATACTCCAAAATTGAAATAAAAGTTCAACATTTTTTTTTTTTTTTTAACTTTCGATTTTAAATAGAATGTAACAACAACATTTTAATATAGTGTAAATCCATTAAAGTTTAATTTCAAAAAAAATTTTTTTTTTTTTATATTTACTGAATTCCTAAATAATTTCAAATTTTCATATAAAATATTTTTTTTTTTTTTTTTTTTTTTTTTTTTTTTTTTTTTTTTTTTTTTTTTTTTTTTTTTTTTTTTTTTTTTGCAGACTGAAATTGATACCACATGTGATATGGATTCACGCCGGTTGGAGATTTTGTGTAGGGAGCTGGATCCTAGTCTTCAGTGTGGTCTTCGATGGGACGGTGGATGTGGCCCTTGTGATGCCTTTGTTAATCCCTTTATCTATCTCCCAGATTTGTTGAACATCCTTTGAGCTTCGTTCGGGTTCGTGCATTGCTAGTCATCTATTCTTCAGTGTGGTGGTGTCTTCGGGTGTTGCAAGCTTAGCCCCTTTCTCAATCGTGGAGTATAGCTCCGTTGATTCCGGGGATGCGTTAGAGCTGGATGGATCTGCATTGTTTGTCGTTTTGTCTTGACTATTAGACAGGCTATCCCTTCTCCTCTCTGTTGAGATTTTAATGGTACCTGTTCTGGACTTCCTTGGCCAGGAATTGACCAATTTAATCATTGCATGTTTCAATGGCACGTGACAGAGGCACAACAGAAGGAGAATACATAGTAGGGAAATTCCAATGTAGGATCCATAAACGAGGATTGTTTGGTTTTTCCCTATATGTCGTTTGACTGCAAAATCCTCAAGTTGTCGTTCCAATTCGTCCAGGGTCTGAGAGTTGGACTCAAAGGTAGAAAATCCTAAGTCGTTCACATCCTCCTTTTTCCCATGGTTGACAGTAGTGGCTAACAAACGACCGTAGTTGGAAACTATTGGAGACAGTTCTGTTAAATTTAAATGCAAATCAGGTTCGTAAATTATCTCCGTTTCTCCGACTTGTGAAGCGGTTGCTGGAATTATTGCGTCTCTGGCCTTTGCCATGCAACCTGGGGCCAATTTCAGAATTCCAGTTCCGTTTAGGCTCGTTTTGATGGGGGTCATAGAGTGACAAATGATTACTACTTCTTCTGTCCTGGAGAACGAATACAGCCAGCTGGCTAAAGTAGTCAATGGTTTCCAAAAAGACTCTGGGTTATTGGTGACTTGAATCTTACAATTCTTCAGAACGTCAACGGTTGGGTTTATGAGAAGTGAAGGTTCACAGGCTGGTCTTTCTTTCATCTCATAGATGGGGACTCCATTAAAACAGGCGTGATAAGACGTTGTTGATTTGCAGGATTTCCAATCCTGCTCCGTTAAGAGGAGATAGGTGTGCTGCTCTTCATCAATGATAAGGTAATCATACTCTGTCTTTACATAAGCTCTTATCACCTTATCACCCATTGCTTCCTGTATAGTTGGAAGAGGGTACATTTTTAATGCTTGATAATTGTATTTTTCTAGTAGGGGAATGTCGATGAGAATCTTCAATTGGTGATCAGCGCACAGGATGGTCACCGTGGAAATTAGCACTAGTTCGTCGATGCTTACAGCAGGTCCAGGTAGTGGAAATTGTACATCAGTAATGTGATCCTGGATGTCGCGGAGTATAGGTTCCAGTTGTTTGGAGGAAATCAGACCAGGATACAGTTTTCCTTGTCTGACTGTATGAACTGCCTCCAGCATAGTATGGGTGACTCGAATGGTATGGTCTAATCCAGTTTTTAATGCTCCCAGTAAATTGAACAACGTATCTCTTTTTTCTAATTCGATCTTGACCAACGGAAGTTCTTCTTGTTTCTTGATCAGCATATCTAATTTTTTGTTTGTTTCATTTATCAGGGAAGCATGCCTATTGAATTGGGCGTGTAGAGTGTCGAGCTGTGACCTAACAACATGGGTTTGTCGTCCAACCAGATGAGATAAGTTGGCTTGCGCGACATTTAGATCTTGGATGATGGCGTCGTATCTTTCTCCGTCGTCATAGTTCAGGACACCGGCTATTGGGCCAGCGATCTTCCCCAAAAATCCAAGGAGAGGCACGCTTCTTCGCAACCGCAATTGTGAGGTTAATTTTCTCACGGGAGGCTTCCTACTGTTTTCCAATTCTGTAACTTGTGTCTGGAATTGCTGCTGCAACTCCATAGCCATTTCCCATCTATCCTCCCAAGGGTGATAGGTCACGAACCCGTGGCACCACTCCTTCTCTGATGCGCAGTGTTGTTTTAGTCTCTCCAATCGGGATTTCAAGTCGTCGATGTATCCGCGTTGACGGCCCATGTCCAGGAAGACGGTCACTCTCCAGTTAGTCACGGACCTCCGAACAGCGCCAAGGTGCTCGTAGTATATCCCACTACTAATAGGCAGTGGGGTAATCTGAAACTCCTCCCTGCCAGAAGTATCGGTGACTGCGCTGGATCCATTGGTAGCTGTTAGGACTAGGGTATATGTTAGACACGCCAGGATAAAGATAATCGGTCCCTCCATCTTGAGAATTTTCCCCTAAAATTGAGTTAAAGATTAGCATTGATGTTTTAGGGAAGATATTGGTTACAAGTAGGTGACCAATATCTTATCCTTATGTTTGGCGAACCTTTCACCATATTCATTTTCCAGAATAACGTTATTATTCTGAGTGATGTCTACCACGGTATAAGGGCCACTTGCCCTATTGTCAAACTTATTCGTCCTCACTTCCTTACGGGTGTATACTTGGTCACCAATCTTGACATTCGATGGCCGAGCTTTGCGGTCATAAAATTCTTTAGAGCGACACTTTGCCCTTTTTAAATTCTCGGCCGCCATATTTTGAAGCTCGGTCATTCGAGTGACAAGATCTCTCAAGTACGATCCATAAGTTTCAAGTTCTGGTCCCTGGGGGAAGGAACTTGGAACTCTTGCCATTCGACCAAAAACCAACTCATACGGGGTGAGATCGGTCGCCTCGTGAACTGACGTATTATAGTTAAACATCGCAAATGGAAGCAGACGATCCCAATCGTCGAAGTCCCTTGCGTAATGCTTAATATAATCTGTCAACTCGATGTGACTTCTCTCCAAAGCTCCATTGGTTTGGGGTCTATAGCCGGAGGTAGTGAGCTGTTTGACTCCGAATATACCCTCTAATTTTCTCATTAGGGAGCTCACAAAGCTTCCACCTCTATCTGTGAGTACACATCGGGGTGCCCCGTACGTAGCAAAGAGATTTGTGGCTATCGCATGAGCAATGGTGGTAGTTTTAATATCGGGTATGGGAACGGCGATGCAGTATTTACTGAAATTGTCTTGCATCGTAAGAATGTGTCGGTTCCCATTGGGGGTAGTTCGGAGTTTTCCTACGGTATCTAGGGATACCTTATCGAAAGGCATAGCTGGCGTGTCCGTTATGACCATAGGTTCGCGAGTTCGGGCTCTGGACAGTTTATTCTCGAAGCAACTTTTGCATTGTCGAATGAACTCAGTTACCTCGTCTCGCATCCTTGGCCAAAAGAATCGCTCGCGTATTCTGCGGTAGGTCTTAGTCACGCCCTTATGACCGCCGATAAGGGTACTATGAAATTCAGATATTATTTTCGGTCTTAGTTCGACGGGTGGAACTTGAATTTTCCCGTGGCACAAGGTGATTTTAGTGTCGCCACCGCGGAATATTCCTGCTACGAGTTCCGCCATTTTGTTTTGTGGAAGGGAGCCTAACAGATCTCCGGAGTTTGCCATTCGGCAGTGATTCTGGTTATCTAACGCGAGAGCATGTTTCAAATTTTTCAATCCCTGAATAACGTCTCTCCAGTCTAATTCATCGGAATATCGTTTCTTTATCACAATCGAGTACACCCTGTACTTACCGGAAAGGGTAAGATGTACCTGTCCCTTCGTAGGCCTACTATCTCGAATGTCCTGCATGTCTATCTTTTCCGTGGCTATTAATAGTTTTGATATGGAATCGATAGGCTCGCAATCTTCCGAGATAAAATGGGCGTAATTGTCTCGTTTGTACGTCAGTGGTTCTGTCCATCTGTTTATGACATTCGTGAAATCCAATCTTTTAATAACGGGTTTTTCATTTTCGAGTGCTTCCGAATCAGATGATGAGGTGGGAGAGTCACAATAGGGAATTTTTAACTCCAAGAAAGGACTCATTGGCATCGCGCACTTCACTGAACTTTCACTCACGGAACTTTTTGATTGTAGTCGGCGTGGTATTATGTTTCTTTTTTTATCCATGACTCGTTTCTCAAGCATAGGGGTTCCCTTGTTCTGGAAAGGGGTGAAGGGGGTTGATTGTGCTCCTGGGGGGTGAAAGAATCCTGGGGTTGAAACTGAGGAACCTTTAAACAGGGACTCACACTCTTCGGGTTCTTCTAGCACTTCAGGGTCCAATCTAAAACGCACGATGCTTCTTCTGGTAGTGGGGTCTAATTCGGTGATTTGAGGCATGCCTTTTGTTATTTCGGCAGAAGAAGAGGGCTCTTCAACTTGGGGTACAGATGTTTCCTTTTCTCCTAATTTTCTTTGACTGTACGCTTTCAGGAAGTCGTTTACTCTTTCAGCAAAAATATCGTCGTTGTCTCCTTGGCAGGGATCTAATGCCTTCAAATGTTTCAGATAATCCTCGTCACTTTCACCTTCCGAAACGTAGAGCCTTTTAGGTGTTGCGTCAAGTCCTTCATGGTCCCAATCTAACGTGTGATTAGTGGGTTCTAACGGATCGATTCCTCTCCTGGCTAAGGATTCTTCGAACTTCCGAACTGATTCGTCAAGACCAACGTTTGATTGGCTCGGGGGCTGTTGTTCTTCTTCGCTGGGTGGTTCCGAACTTTCTTCACTGCTAACGGGGCGTGGTAATCCCTTAACGACGATACTTTCTAGAGGCAGATCCTCTTCGACTTCTTCTGGAGATGACTCAGAGGAAGAACTTGATTCTGATGCTGGATCAAGGAGTGCGCCTTCTCTGGCAAGGCGATCTGCATTTTCGTTTCCCTCGATGCCGTCATGCCCTTGCACATGTTCCCAAATGACGTCAGCGTGTTTGAGAGCTTTTATTAACCTCTCATAAGCCTTTTGGTTTTTAACAGGCTTGTTGTCATTTGTTTTCCAATCATTCTTCTGCCATTTCGGAACCCATTCTTTGATGCCTTGTATCAGAACCTTGGAGTCGGTTTTAATCCTCAGCTTCCTGAGTCCCGCCTTCTTGGCCTGATGAATTGCCACCGTGGCAGCCTCGATTTCGGAGGCATTGTTGGTTTGTCGACCCTTGTATCGTCGCGACACATTGAGAGGATTATTTGGACCAAACCACACGCCTATACCTGCTCTTGGTCTCGTCCCACCATTATCTCCACACGCGCCATCTACATAAACGTCTGTGTAGGGATCACTTAACAAGGGGAGCGAGAGGGTCGAGAATTCAGGAGGATTAAATTCATTGTCTGGGGTGCCGGTTTGTTTGAGGGTTGGATCTATCGGAACACTGGGGAAAGCACTATGGTCTTTTCGGAAGACTGGGGGATCCGATTCTTCTTCACTTCCACTGCTGGATAACTGTTCATCTGAAGACGAGTCGGAGATTGCTGAATCCTTTGAGGCCTGGGAGGCAGAGGTAGTCCTTTTCCTAAGTCTCTGGGCTATGCAACTGACGTTTGGGTCAACTAATCCCAAAGCCGGTGGAGGTTTATAAGGCTCTTCTCCATCGGAATCCTTGGGTTTAGTGGAGCCTTTGGGTCTCCCTGGGCGTCGAGGAGGGGGTTCCACTCTGGAAGATGGACCAGGAAGTTGAGGGTTCTGAGCGTGCATCCTTACCGGTCGGTTACCTAATGTTGAGCTCCTGGGGTTCTTTAATATGGAGGTGGGTTTAAAACCAAGTGGCCCGGGAGCGGTCACTCTTCTTTTGGGAAGTTTCGGCCGTTGCTCCGTGGTCAGTCGTCCCGATTTTATTGTGGGGCTATTCAATGGGGGCTCAGGCAGTTTGAAACTTGGCGTTGGTTTCGAAATAGTTTTCTTCTCGAGCTGTGTTGTTGCTCTCGTTTGGGGTCCTGCAGAGGAAGAGCTGGGTTGGGGTGGGTTTACGTCTTTAGAACCCTTTCGCGCACCGTCCTTTTTCGCGTCCTTAATTGGTAATACACGGAGTGGCGAGGACTTTAGGTGGGAGTCACTTATTGGTGTTTTGCTGTCTACGTCAGTCGCGTCGTTCGTCGATGAATCAGTCCATTCTGACTCGGAACTCGCATCAGAATGCGGCGCATCCGTCGTTGCCTTATTCTTCGTCGGATTTTCTGACAATGCCTGTACGATGCGATTTATTTTCCCAGGTTTGTACTCGAATTTATATTGATAATCCTGGAGCCTTAGTCTCCACCTTGAGAGTCTCGCTCCCGGATTATCAATATAAGACATCCAGTGGATTGGTTCAAAATCACACGCCAGGGTGAATTCTCGTCCATAGAGGTATGGGCGAAAATGCTCCACGGCGTATAATATCGCCAAGCATTCTCGTTCTGCTTTTGGATATTTTACTTCGTTTTTATTTAGGACCTTCGAGAAGTAACTCACCGGCAAATCTACACCGTCTACTTCTTGAGTCAGCATAGCCCCAACGGCATGCTCTGAGACGTCGGTTGTCAATTTAAACCTTTTTTGAAACTCCGGATATTGTAGGATGGGTTTTCGACACAAGTATTTTCTCAGTCTTAAAAAGCTCTTACATTGTGATTTGCCCCATTCCCACTTTACGTCCTTTTTCAACAAGTCCGATAGGGGTTTGGCTAATTTGGCATAGTCTTTAATAAAACGACGATAGTACCCGGATAAACCTAGAAAACTTCTAATGTTCTTTTGGGTCTTAGGTTTTGGGAAGTTTTTTATCGCGTCTATTTTGTTAGGGTTTGGTTTCACGCCACTGCCACTAATAATATGTCCCAGATATGCCACTTCTGTTTTCAGAAATTCACACTTGTCGGGCTGAAGTTTCAAGTTTGCTTCCCGGAGCTTAGTAAAAAGTCGTCGGGCTCGAACATCATGCTCTTCAAGTGTGTCTGAGTAGATAATAATGTCGTCTAGGTAGACAAATGCTTCCGTATCGAGCATGCTACTTAGTACACTATTAAGTAATCGTTGGAAAGTGGGGGGGGCGTTTTTTATCCCCATGGGCATCCTGTGGTATTCGTAGTGGCCGTTTCTAGATGAGAACGCTGTCTTGTGACGGTCGTCTGGGTGCGTTTCGACCTGGTGGAAACCGCTTGCTAGGTCAAACACGGTGAAGTACCTAGCCCTACCGAGCCTATCTAGGATCCCGCTGATATTCGGTAATGGAAAAGCGTCTCCAATTACCTTTTCGTTAAGGGCTCTGTAATCGATTACAACTCTCCACTTCTTTTCCCCTGAAGCATCAAGTTTTTTGGGTACTATTAAAAGAGGGGAGTTGTAATCAGAGTTTGAGTGGCCTATTATACCGCTATTAAACTGCTTTAAGAGCTGTGCGTCAATTTGTTCTAAGGCCTCATTTGGGGACCTATATTGTTTCTTCCTGATTACTTGGTCATCGATGGTCGGAATTCTATGCTGCACAAGATGCGTGCAGGTGAGTTTTTCTCCATTGAGGTGAAAAATGTCAGGAAAATCTTCCGCCCATCGATATACCATCTCTTTTCCTTCCGGGATTAAATGGGAGGTGTGAAGGGAATCCTTGACCCTACGAGTTCTATCGGAATGCTCTATTCCTGTGGCCTCCTGCAAATTTTCGGGATCTGAGTCTGAGAGTTCTTCTCCCGGAAACCTACAAAAGTCAAACGGAACGAGTTCTTGTGGTTCTATCCGTAGGTCAATTTCGTCCTCAGTTGTGTTAATGGCCATTGCATGGCAAACACCATCCTTGCTTGAGACTAATGCCTCTCCCAGGTAAACGCCCCCTGGGGCTTGCATACGAGGGAGATAGCCTTCTTTTAACCCTGGATTAAGAACGTCAATCGCTATTGGTTTTCTGGTTCTAGCTTTTATTCTCAGGATTCTTGCGAAGGGTTTTATGTCAGGCCTCAACTTTTCTTTAGCTTCCAGTGATTCCCTGTCCACAAAAGGGATGGGAGTCACTGGATTTGTGATGGTTACTAGGGCGTTATGCCGAAAGGAAAGTTGAGCCTGTTCCTGGCGCAAGAATGGCCTTCCTAGAATTCCAGAAGTTGAAATTGGGAAATTATTTTTGACAACTTGAAATTCAATTGAGACATTGAGAATTGTGACTTCTACGGTTCCCAATGTTTGAACCGAATGATTCGTAATACCCGTGATCTCAGTGCACTTGCTTCGAGCAAGTGTGAGTTCGGGTCTCAAAACACTTATTTTAATCAGGTTAGTGTCAGAGCCGGGGTCAACTAGAAAGTTCACCTTTGTTTGTTTAAACTCAGGTGCACTTAGTTGAACTACTGGGGAATCTTCTCCCTTAGACTTTGCTCTACGGACCCAACTTGGTCCGGGGCAAAATGGACGGATCTCTGACGCTGCAGGGTCGGACTCGCTGCCGCGTCGGAGCGTCGAGTCTGCTGGAAGTTTAAATCCGGTTTTTGAAAAGTCGGATTCGGGTTTGGGCTTGGGGAAATTGATCGAGGTGGTGTGTTACTCGATCTATAACCCTGATTTTGTGGTCGATATAGCTGATAAGGTTGTTGAGGGGGTGTCGGTGCGTAGGGTGTAGCACGTGTTGACTGAAGGGGGTGTGACGCGGTTGGAGCAGGAGGAGCGTATGTAATTGGTTGAAGTGACGGCATCATGGATTGGTAGAATGCCGCCAGTTGCTCAGGAGTGAACTGCATCATCCCGCTAGATTGGTTGCGACTTGGTCTGGCACTGCCATTTTCTCTGTCGCTTTCAGTTCTCCTCCTTTCTGACGAGGGGTGATTCTCTACTTGACGACTATAGGGACTAGGAGATCGGGCCCTATCATCCGATCGGGTAATATGATATAACGACGCTCTAGTTCTCTCTGCGTAATTACGGCGTTCTTCTGCATACAACGCATGTTCAAAGGCTTCCTGAAGGTTCCTAGGATTCCGAGTGTCAACAAACGTTGACATTTCATCTGGTAAACCTCTCACGAAAGCGCGAAACGCGTTCTCAACGATCGGCTGCATAATAATTTCGCTTTCTAAGATGTCAGGTCCTCGCTCTCGTTCGCCACGCTCGTTTTCAGTAATTTCACGATAAACTTTATTATATTTCATTTCTAGAGCGTGTCTTGCACCACTCACTAGTCCTCTTAATCGGTCGTGATAGTCACTCACTGTTTCAGTCTGTTTTAGTCTTATCGTCATTATGTTGTCTAGGTACCATTGGTACTTTTTCGATGATGCAAATCTTTTTCTCAAGTGTTCCACTAGGCCATTTATGCTATCGAAACGCAACCCACGAACACTGTCTCGAGCTGCGCCTCTAAGTTTGCTCAAAACGGCTTTGAGGAAGCCTGGCTCCGATACTTCCGGTATAAATGCGGCACTATTTTCGATCTCTTGTAAGAAGTCTTTTAAAGGGGGTTGTCTGCCGTCGAACAGGGGAATGTTCTGTGAATTTGTTTGCACGGACATTTGTTCGAGCACGGTAACCACACTGTTTGTGTAGTCTAGGGGCGCGGGGGCAGGTGCCACGGATCGAACCTCTCCTTCCACATGGATCGTGTTGTTGGCGTTATGGCCTCCCCCATTACCATCACCACCGGTGGTAGACATGTTTTCAGATTTTTTTTTTTGCTTACAATATATATGTTTACAGTAACCTTAAATAAGGCGTAAATAAGGTGTTGCTTGGCAGGGGATAATATTCAGGAAGTATCGCCACCGCGGATTTTTCCTGCTAATTGCTACCTAGAGGTCAATCGGAGTAGGAAACACCTCATTCTATTTAATAGGCTTGTTTTTGTTTCGTATGTTCGATTAATTCTCGAGTAATTAATATTAATTCGAGTTTTATTGCCCCTTGCAGCCTGAATCACGACCGAATTATAAGGAGATGATTCGCTGGGATTCATTACTCAGACTGAGTTTTGTCAACTTCTAATCGCTCGATTCTGCATAGCAAGGTCAGGTGGTAGACGGCTAATTCGCGATAATATTCTTCGACGTTTTCTAATCTCTCAGTTATTTCGGAACCTTGGTCCCGAGAGAAACCTGGCACAACTAAGGCTAAACGAGGAAACATTAGCGGGGCATGGTGTCTATTTCGATAATTTAATAGATTCTATTTTACGAATTTTAAGTTTGTTTTTACCAACTATTGAGACAATACGAGCAGACGAAATGAATGCAAGAGGAATGCTAGTAAGTTCTTGCTGGGTTAGGAACTCCGGGTCCGAAATTGGGAATTTGTCGCTGTATTCCACAAAGTAATATATCTCTTCCATTAAATATGCTAATTATGACGCTGGGTCGGATAAGGTCTGCTTCGCCTTCGATTTCTATTTAGGGCCCTGCGCCTAATGATCTCGCCAATGGGGATCACTCCAGGAGGTGGGGGAATCTCGTTTTCAATGACAAGGAGTTGTAATTCGTGGTTGGGAACAATGTCTGGGATTGGTTTCTGGTAGCACATTGGGAAAAACTAGTCTAAAATCATGACGTCACTGTCATAATCTACTGTGCTGTCAGAGTCAAAATTGTCAAAAGGTTCTATCCGTTCGTTCGTCTTTTGTTTGCTGTGGCAATTTCTTTCGGCCTTATTTAAGAGATACTCAAAACAATCGGAAAATTCTTTCCAAGAGTTTAAGGATTTTCCCGAATTTTCCGGTTTTAATTTTTTTGCTTGTGGATTTTTCGCGAGTACTAGTCCACTTGTCGAAAGTGCTGTGAAGTCTATTTCGCTTGAAGCTTGTTTTTCCTGTTCTATACGGTTTTTGTTTTCGAGTGATTTCTTTACTTTTGATCTTCCACCACGACGTTTGTTCCTATTCGGCATTATTGGGCATTTTAAATATTATCAATCAATTTGTCGAACAGGATCCAATAATAAAGAAAACAAGAAAATTGTGTAATAAAGAAAAAGAAAAACCAGCTCTCTCCTTTGAAAACTTCTATTGCATATCCTTAAATGAGTTTCTGGAGCCCCCACCCTTTTAAGGTAGGGTCATCACATACATCTCACTCCCAGATAAGTGAGGAAAATTGAGTGAAGATTCAAATCAATTTTTCCAACTAAAAGTCTAAAACCCTAGAGAGCCGAAATTTTTCTTCCCTTTAATTTCTCTGTTTTGAATTAATAAAATTAAGGGAAATTATTCAAATTAAAATGACCAAGGTTTTCCTTCCCCGACAAAAACTGACCTTTGGCTCGTCCTTAAATGAGGTTCAGGAGCCCCCACCTTTCGGGCAGGGTCGTCACTTACTACTCACTCCCAGTTGGGTCAAAAAGAATTAAACAACAAAGGGAAATTAAATTCCCTATTTATTCAATTTTCCTTTAATCAGTTTGTGTCGATAAAAAGAAATAGTTGATCATTAGTAATAATAATAAAATAAGAAAAAAAAAGTTATTAATAATCTCGAAATAAAATTTTTTTTTTTTTTTTTTTTTTTTTTCGATCCACAAGTGAACAAACAATTTCCTTTTTCCAACGAAAATCTTTAATTTAACCTTAAATGAGTTTCTGGAGCCCCCATTATTTAAAATAGGGTCGTCACATATTACTCACTCCCAGTTAAAATAGGAAAATTAAATTCAAGAAAATTTGCTTCCTTTTCTTTAATTTTCCAAATTAGTTTGCGTTGTGGTAAAAATAAAAATTAGTTTGCATTTAAATATCAGAATGTAATTAATTGATAATATTAAGAAAGAGAAAAAAAAATTTTTTCTTCCGTCAGCAGGAAGTTTTTAATTTAACCTTAAATGAATTTCTGGAGCCCCCACCTTGTAAAGTAGGGTCATCACATACTCTTCACTCCCAGTTAAATGGTAAAATTAGGGAGAAAATTTTCCTTTATTTTCTTCCCAAATTTTATTCCTTTTATTCAAGCTGGCTTAAAGGAAGATTTTTCTTTAGCAATATTAGAATATAAGAAAAACAACAATTGCCGTGAAATAAAATTGTTGGAGAAGAAGGTTTGCTTTACGAGCAAGTAACAGCAAAATGAGCGCAGAAATAAATGACAAGAATAGAATACTACAAGTTACACAAAAAAAAATTCGCGTCAAAATAAAAAAAATTTTTTTTTTTAATTATTCAATTAAAAATCAAAAGGGGCCGGGCAACTACGTGAGAAAGAAATCCCACCGCTGCCACCATCAGCTTGTTACGAACCGAAAAGAAAATTAAAATTCTATTAATTAAAAGAAACCTGTTTAAAATTTTAAAAATTAATTTGTCGAACTAATCAATCAAAACAACGAAAGAAACTATGAGGAGCGTGCCTGCTGTCAGTTCGCTGGAGGACCAAGCTGCCAGGGCTGTACAGCCCTGTTTTTATTTGTGGGGTCGTTCTTCTCTTTTAGAAGTAGCTACCAAGCAACCCTTTTTTTTTTTATTTTTAACGAGTGTAATTCCTTTTATGCACATATGTGGTTAGTGTTGAATAGTAAAAAAAAAACAATTGATTTTAGCTATAGAAAGTTTATTATAAATGTATAAGAAGAATACAGAGATTAGAGTAGGCGAAATAATAATAAGGAAGATAAAATATTGTTATAAAAGAAAATTGGAACGATACAGTAATTTAACTGACTCACCCTTGTGTAATTTTTCTTTTCTCAAATTGTAATCTTAGACCTACCGCTGGATTCAAACTTAATTCAGCGGGCGAAAATGATTTAATAGTTTGTTTTTTTAACCTTATTGTTTTTCTTAGGCCTACAGAACTCTGATGGCCTTTCCACACACACTTTTATTCGCGACTCGAAGGAAGAAACAAAAGAATTTAAATTAATGAAACGCGAAATTGCACTGATTTTATTCTGTTTTATTTCTACTGTTCCGAGTTTCAGTCTGTGAATTTTTTTTTTTTTTTTTTTTTGAATCTAAAATTTTAAGAATTTGATGAAACTAAATTTTAAAATTTCGAATTTACTTTTGTTAAAAGAAAATTTAATTTAGGTCGGACTTCGCGTTCGCGAAGTTTCTCCTTTTATTTTATTTTCGTCTATCCTTAATTTAAATACTATCTCGTAGTATTCACCAAATTAGGGGCCGATTAATAGACGGGCGCGTCCCGGCGTTTCGCAATGCGTTGATGCCTCCACGAGGAGCTTACTAACAAAGCAAAAGTTGTACTGCGAATTTTGGAAATCTTTTCCAAGCCTCTACTCCTTGCTTCTGAATCTAGGGAGGGTTTTGAATTAGAAGTGGTGGTTGTAGGAGTAAAAGTGGGGAAAAATTTCTGGGCCCATTGGTCAATGCAATTTTGCTGACTTTGGAGATCTCGCGCTCGGCGTGAGAACGGAAAATCGTCTGCAGAATTTGAGACTTTTCGGGAATTATTATTTTAAAATATTAATTATACATAAATTTTTCTTTAGTCTTTATTGTTAGACCAAGTGGAAAAATAAGGAGGAAAATAAATAATATTGTTTATTGTACCTGTCACAATTAATAACAATAAAACATTGTTTGTTAATCATGACGCAAACAACAACACCTTGATATCCTGAATTTAGTTCTTCAACATTTCAGAAACATCTCCTTGTAATTATGAATGGTACAAGATAATTAAATTCAAATAAATAATTCCCATTTTATTTTGATAAGCTTTAAGATGTATTTCAGCTTGAAGCATTGCACGTGCATTTGTTTTCTATGCACATGGGGCCAGGGGAAAAGGGAGCGCTTGGACGAAGAAGAAGAAGCAACGAGCGGAGGCCTAGAATGTATTAGTGGCCTTTGCTATATAATGTATGTGTGCATCATTGTTGCGATCTCCAACGAGTCATATGTGTGTGTGCAATGAGGCAGCCACCCGAACATGTGTAGGTCCAAGAGAAGATATACACATATAGAATTATTTTCTATTTCTTTCAACTTTAATATTGTAATTCCTTTAGGTTTTTTTTTTCTTTTTAATTAACAATTTCTTTGTTTACGTGGATTGTTATTATCTCACTTATTTACATTTAAAATTTTCTTTCTCTTTTTTTTTTTTAACAATAATAATTTATGATCAATTCGGTAAAAAAAAATAAAATTTTGACAACACAAGGTGAGTCACGAGGTTTGTAATGTTTGCATACATTGCACACATAGCCCACACACTCAAATAAACAAAATTATTAATGTATAATAGCTGTAAGATCATTTGTTCGGGAATATTGAATTGGGAGTGCCGCGACATAGCGGAAATTGATCAGGCTGGTGCCGCAAGCTTCGTTTTATATGTCGCAACACTCGTAATGTTGTTATTTAATAATTTTAAATTGGGAATGTTGCCGCAATGTTCGCTACTGGTTTCTTGACACCCGGGTGCCAAATTCGACGTTAAAATCTTCCTATCGCGAAGATAAAATAAAATAAAGATTCTAATCAGCGCAAACAAGGTATACTTATGCATGGAGCTGCGCTAGATCGCGCCCATGCGCAATTACGTTATTATATAAGATATATATTTTTTTTCTTTAACCTTTCTTTTTTTTTATTAATTAGGGTAGAAGTGGAGGGTTAGTGATTTCCTGAGGGTCATAATCATTTAATTTAAGTTAACCATTTGGTAAAAAAAAAATTATTATTTTTTTTTTAAAAATATTTTATTTGTAA